GTCAGTCAATAGAGCTTTGAAAAATGTGTCCAATTCAACAAAATGTTTTTTTGTGAGTGAAGGCCAGAGCTAAATTATAGATGGTTTGATTGTGTAATTACAAGGTGAGAGAAAATAAATCCACATCCTCCGATGAAACTTATTTTATTTCCTTTTCCATGTTATACTTATACTTACTTGCATTAGAACATTTGCATGTTGAACTGCTGGATATCTTCCCCAGCCTCAAGGAAATACAATAAAATAAATTGATTCATAATTTAAAAAAATGATAAAATGTATAAATTAATAATGTCGTGTGCAAACATTTAAAAATGTAAATCTAAAATGAAAAAAAAGTTTACTTTTGAAATGATTTCTCACAAAAATCAATAGTAAATTGTAAAAAAAGGGTTTAGTCAATACACGTTTTTCAGCCTAGAATAGTTTAAATTGTAAGTAAACTATATCAAATACCACATGCATGGCAATTAACCCATTTTTGCCCGCTATTTAAATTGACTTTGGTTGAAGTTAATAACAATATTGATATTATGTAGATATATATAGCACATGATTGAAAAAAAAGTTTACTTTTGAAATGATTTCTCACAAAAATCAATAGTAAATTGTAAAAAAAGGTTTAGTCAATACACGTTTTTCAGCCTAGAATAGTTTAAATTGAAAGTAAACTATATCAAACACCACATGCATGGCAATTAACCCATTTTTGCCCGCTATTTAAATTGACTTTGGTTGCACTTAACAATATTGATATTATATAGATATATATATATAGCATATCATTGATGCAGTCTTTCTGAACACTTTTAAAATAAAATACTGCAAATGAAGAATATTTGTAATGTTCTGCACAGATAGTGCCTTAACTTGAATTTCAAAACACGTGGCAACTTTATCGATACAGCAGATGAAAAGATTTGTGGAAGGATAAATTCTTCATGGGCTTCAATGGCTCTCTAGATAAAGGGCGTTTTATGGTTGCTTGTATTATCCTCAGATAGGGGTTTGTTTAAATGACTAGTGACATTTTAATAAATATTGAAAAAAAGGGCTCCAAAAAGGCATATATATATATATATAACCTGGCCGGCTTAACCCGTCTGTATTTCTTCAAGCACCACAAGATTCAGTTTATAAAGTACAATTCTGGGCCATTGATTGTGTTATTTCTCCAAACACATGCAGTAAAAATGCCTGTTTTGAAGCCTTCAAATGGTTCAGGAAAAGGACTTTACATTGGGTTATACTTAAAGACAGGACTATTCAGTTAAGAGAAGAGAAAAAAGGAAAGCACATTGTTATAATGGGTGATGTAACATTAATGACAGACATAATATGAGGTCCTTGGCACTCAGACTCTAGAGGGGTCATTTTGTGATCATGGGGCATCACCCTTACAGCATCAGGACAATATCATATGGAGTCAGACACTAGAAGTGTGCTGGAGGCGTTGACTGGGACTGATGGAAGGATGAGGCTGATGAGACTGAAGAATCTGCGAGGAACGAACTAGCGGCAGAGAAATAATTATATATTAAAAGACAGCAGCTTCATAAGAGGCCAACCAGAGTGACAGAGTGTGTCACTTTGCTGAAGGATATTTGTGACCAGTTATCCAGGCCAGACTCTAAAGACTTTCCAAGGTGTAAAATGCTGCTGCCGGAGTACTGACTGGAAGTATTGCTGATATCATGATGTCCACCATATCCTCTTAAAGTACTTTGCCCAATAATATCAGTCTCAGGAAGAAAGGTTTTTTAATGCTTATTAAAAATAGCAGAGAAACATGCATTCTTGAACTCAGGAGGGGACATTGACAGAGGATTACTCAAAAAGTACACAGTAAAAGTACTTCATAGTACTTGTGGGAGTAGTTTCACTAGTACTGAGTCCAACAGGATCAATCTCACGAAGAACTAATGGCAAAAATAATTTCCCCCTCATCAAACTTAGCAGAAGTGGCTTGATTTTGTTCTCAGGAGGGGACATTGACAGAGGATCTTTTTTAAAACAACACACCAGAAGTACTTCATTGTATTGTGGTAGTAGGTGTAAGACTACTGAGTCCAGCAGTATCAATATCATTAAGAACTAATGGTAACATTTTCTTTTTATCATTCATCAAAGATAGCAGAAAACATGCATTATGTACTATGGAGGGGACTCTGACAGAGGATTACTCACAAAGTACACAGTAAAAGTGATCATTTTATTTCTGGTAGCAGTCAAACTAGTACCGAGTCCAACAGTATCAGTTTTATTAAGAACTTATGGTAACAAATATTTGTATCGATCATCAAATATAACAGGACAAAAAATGAAGAGCAGCTGATTTGAAAAAACAAAGTGGAGAGACGGCTGAGTGACCGCAGAGCAGAATCGCTGTATAGTTTAAATCTCCTAACAATGTTGTCCATTTTAGACAGAGGCTTATTATATTTACAGCCCTTAACCTCTTAAGCACGGCGGTCCCCCCATTGGACCCCTCCCACCGTTTTGTTTTCGAGATAATGTCTCAGGGCTTCTTAACATTTATGAAACTATTAATGTGTAGCACCAGATTAACGGGAAGAATCTCAGCTAACTGAAGATATGAACCATTTTTACCAAAACAAAACACAAGTCTCATAAGAAGGGTCTAAATGACCAACCCAGTCTCACGGCATTTCGTAGTCACGAAATTAATTTAATCTATTGATTCGTGTTCACCAACACGATTTTCACCTTTTTTTCGTGTCACACAGAACGATTTTAAATGCAATGTATTTCTATTGGTAGTATGTTTCGTGCCTGCAACACGTCTTTTTGTCCGGTCGGGTCTTGGAAGACCAGAAGCTGTGTGGTTCATAAAAACATGTTCTTACTCAATATCTTACCCTAAGCCTAACCCTATCCCTTTTATTTTAAATTGTATAATGTCTGAGTTTTTTTGCCGTCAGTGAGGAAAAGAAATGGCTCAGAGCCTCAGAATACTGAAATCTGTATTTTATGTCATCTCTTTTTCCTTCTAATTTGTTATTATTTGGTGCAGGTATGAAACATACTACCAATATAAATACATTGCTTCTAAAATCGTTCTGTGTCAGAATACTTAAATCTGTATTTTTTTAAATGTCTTTTTCCTTCTAATTTGTTATTATTTACATTGCTTTTAAAATCGTTCTGTGTGACACGAAAAAAATGGGAAAATCGTGTTGGTGAACACGAATCAATAGATTAATTTCGTGACTATAACACGAAATGCCGTGAGACTGGGTTGAAATGACCCCTGAGCGAAAAAAATCTAACGCACTGCGGCACACAATTCAAGATAAAGATACCCTTATTACTTATCGTAGCTGCACATACAATATAGCCTATTAAAGCTGAGACTCCACTGATTATTTATGTATAGTATCATCACTGAGCGATCCGAACTTGCGACAGGGGAAGCAAACACAGACATCACAACACGTACCTTTACGGAGCTTTTACGGCAGATCGTCTCACCGTAGCTGTCAATTAGGTCAAAAGACGTGTTCAATGGCATTAAAACGAAAAAAAAAAAATCTACAACTGTTGATCCATAGGTTGATAATGTACCTGTCCCTTTAAAAAAATTATTTATAATCCATAATTCCATTTTTTATGTAAAAATCGGAGCGGAAAAGTTAGCTGCTAATGGTAGCCACCAGAGTGTATGCAGCTTCCGGTTTTGGTAACGCGTCACTCTCACTCCTTATTTGTTAACGTTTTGGTGTGTATATAACTTTCCCTCGATTCCATTGGCTCTAGCGGTTATAAAGAGATTTCATTCATCAAAATCGAGCAAGGGGGGCCAGAGATAGGTCAAATCCACCCAAATGACCCCAAAAGTGGGGGTTTTTGGCTAAATCTCTCTAACAAGGTCAAATTTCACTTGTTTTGCATCAATCTTGATACAGGGTACTTATTATATGTTGTACTTTGGATTCCTAAAGCTTTTAGTCTACTAACCGATCATCCAAGGGTAGTTTTCACTATAAGTACAAAATAAATTTTGGACGGACACTATAATTTACAGTTTTTTACTATGTAAAATCTGAATTTTCTTTAAAATAAAAAACATCTATATTGATTCTGACTTTTCTACATCCAACTCACAGGTTTATCATTACTTTGAGAATAAAGATTATTAATTTAACCCTTTTAGAAGGGAAGATATGGTCATTTGTTCTGGGAATGTCATTTTCGAGCCTGAGACCTGAAAAACAGGCTCAGGGCTTAAGAGGTTAAAGGTGGGGTAGGTAATTTTGGAGAAACCAGCTTGAGTGCGCTAGAATTTGAAAATACACAGCCGGAAAAAATCTGCCACTTCCTTACAGAGCCCCTCCTCCAACACACACGAACGCGCACATGACCAATGAGGGCACGAGATAAGTTTGTGCACAGATGGAAGGCTGACAGGCAGGTAGGCCATCCAGTTATTTTAGCCGGGCCGGCTAAAAGGATCAGTCGTGCTTTACCGACAAATGTAATATTATTACAGTACCCAACACCCAACTCTGCTCGTATGGTAGTATAGCTACTTGCTGCCACTATCATATTGCGAGCACTATCTGCTCCTAAAGTAGTGAGCTGTCCATCTCCTGGATTCAGCAGAATGCCACCCCTCCGTTTTCACCAGACCTAAAGAACGAGTGCACAACACTTGTCATGGATTAAATGTGCTTTTACACCGAGGTAGTTATAGCTCTGACTGATGTCTGGAGGTGGAAGAAGTACTCAGATCTTGTACTTGAGTAAAAGTAGAAATACTCAGATCTTGTACTTGAGTAAAAGTAGAAGTACTCAGATCTTGTACTTGAGTAAAAGTAGAAGTACTCAGATCTTGTACTTGAGTAAAAGTAGAAGTACTAAGATCTTGTGCCATTCACGTTTTTTTTGACAGCACAAATTTAAACCAAAATGTATCATTATGATGGATTTGATTGAATGCTTGCATTATAAAGTGTGTGTGTTTATGTATTTGTCTCCAGGGTTACTAGTTCGTCTCTCAGGATGGAGAACATGAGAGATTTGGATGATGAGGAGGAGGACAAATCTTCAGTGTCCAGAAAACCTCCAGATTTGAGTAATACACTTGGAGCATCTGACACAAGGTAAGAGTCTGTTTCTGCTGTGAACTGACCTGAAGAGGAGTCTGGTTTGATCTGTTAAGTAAATGAACTTGGAACATGTAGAACTTTTCACTCTCACAAAGAATTGTAACAACAGAAACCCACAAACACCATTTTTAAAACATAAAGTTTAGAGTAAGAACAAAAATCTTTAAAGGGGAAAGAAAATCAAAACTGAAATCAAACGCTGCTTTTTACAAGAACTAGTGATGTGTGTTAAACATTTGTTGTTTCCACAGACAGAGAGCAGAGTCTCCAGTCCCCAGCTGCCTGTCTCTGAAGAGTGACTGGTCTATGGAGAACCCTCCAGTCTTCAGTAATGAACCTGGACCCTCAGACACAAGGTAAGAGTCTGTTTCTGCTGTGAACTGACCTGAAGAGGAGTCTGGTTTGATCTGAGTAGCAGATCACAGTACAGAAACTCAGTAGAGCTCAGTATAGAAACTCAGTAAAGCTTCACTGTGGAGTTCAGTCATGAAACAACGTCAATGAGACGAAAGAAACCCAGAAGAGGAAAGTAAAGAGGTAACTGAGCTCTGGCTGTGCTCATCAGCAACAGTTAATCATCTACTATTGTGAAATCATTCTCACACTCGACATGTAGGACTTTGTGTTAGGTTAAGTAAATCAACTTCGAACATGTAGAACTTTTCCCTCTCACAAAGAATTGTAACAACAGAAACCCTCAAAGCACGACTTAAAAACTGAAGTTCAGAGCAAGTCCAAAAACCATTACTAAGGTCAAATCTGCTGAAATGAAAAGCTGTTTTTTATTACAAGAACTAGTGATGTGTGTTAAACATTTGTTGTTTCCACAGACAGAGAGCAGAGTCTCCAGTCCCCAGCTGTCTGTCTCTGAAGAGTGACTGGTCTATGGAGAACCCTCCAGTCTTCAGTAATGAACCTGGACCCTCAGACACAAAGTAAGAGTCTGTTTCTGCTGTGAACTGACCTGACAAACATATAGATATAGATATATATACTGTATATATCTATATATATATGCCATCTGATCATTTTAAACTCTTCTTTAATAATTACATGAGTGCAGTAGCCCACAGTATAGAAACTCAGTAGAGCTCAGTATAGAAACTCAGTAGAGCTCAGTATAGAAACTCAGTAGAGCTCAGTATAGAAACTCAGTAGAGCTCAGTATAGAAACTCAGTAGAGCTCAGTATAGAAACTCAGTAGAGCTCAGTATAGAAACTCAGTAGAGCTCAGTATAGAAACTCAGTAGAGCTCAGTATAGAAACTCAGACGTACTTGAATCAGATAAGGGAAATATCGGCACCTAGAGCTCTACAGTACTTCATATTGAATTGAAGTTATACATTGATGTGTATCAACCATTGATTGTTAGTTTGACTTTTAATGGAGCAGCCACAATGTTAGCTAAGTCTAACTCCACTCAATCTAATGTCCATTCAGGAACTAGCATTTTGAAAGTGATTTGCTTTCCATGTTGTGGACAGACCTGACAAAGTGTTCACTGCTTTTACAAATTGGAATCATTATGTAGTTATTACATAAACAAGTTTAATTTAGCCGTAGTAAAACTTGTGAGGTACAGTGAACATGCTGTAGGCGATGATGTTACAGACAGAAGGGCGTTTTGTTTCATACATATATGAATAACTAAATATCTACCACTTGGGAACAGTTACCAGGATGAAATATCATCTACAGATAAAGAACTTTAAAAAAACAAGAATTTGCCAACTTTGGGTTGTACCATTGGTGAAAATCAGTCACCGTAAAGTGCTATAAAGGATGTGTTGATCTCCACAGAGGGAAGAGGAAGAGTGGTGTTCCTGTGGAGGAGCAGCTGTCCAGCTGTGCTCTGTGTCAGGACGTCCTGAAGGATCCAGTCTCTACCAGCTGTGGACACTGGTTCTGCAGACAGTGCATCACCTCATACTGGGAGCAGAGACCTCCATCAGGAGACCCCTGCTGTCCCCAGTGTGGAAAGAGATCCAGAACCAGAGCTGGACTGCAGACAGCCAGTCAGACCAGACCAGTAACAAGTAAGTCTGAACATCTGTCCAGGGTTTCCCACAGATAGACTTTACTTGGGCTGGCCACCCAGATATATTAACGTCCGCCCAGGTATATTAACGTCCGCCCAGGTATATTAACGTCCGCCCAGGTATATTACTACCCTCCTGGCAGGTTTACCTGCATGTGCCGTCCGACCTCTGCAGCTCATCCAGAATGCAGCGGCTCGTCTGGTCTTCAACCTTCCTAAATTCTCCCACACCACACCGCTCCTCCGCTCCCTTCACTGGCTTCCAGTAACTGCTAGAATCCACTTCAAGACACTGGTGCTAGCGTACCATGCTGTGAATGGATCTGGCCCTTCCTACATCCAGGACATGGTTAAACCATACACCCCAGCACGTGCACTACGCTCTGCATCAGCCAAACGGCTCGCTGCACCCGCACTGCGAGGGGGACCCAAGTTCCCATCAGCAAAAACACGTGGGTTTGCTATCCTGGCTCCAAAATGGTGGAATGAGCTCCCCATTGACATCAGGACAGCAGAAAGCTTACACATCTTCCAGGGCAGACTGAAAACTCATCTCTTTCGACTCCACTTCGAGCAATACATTTAAAAACAAAAAAACAAACAAAATAAAAAGCACTTATATATTAACAAAGCACTTATATACTAACAAAGCACTTATATACTAACAAAGCACTTATATACTAACAAAGCACTTATATACTAACAAAGCACTTAGATAAAAACAAAGCACTTATATACTAACAAAGCACTTACATACTAACAAAGCACTTACATACTAACAAAGCACTTATATACTAACAAAGCACTTATATACTAACAAAGGACTTAGATACTAACAAAGCACTTATATACTAACAAAGCACTTACATACTAACAAAGCACTTATATACTAACAAAGCACTTACATACTAACAAAGCACTTACATACTAACAAAGCACTTATATACTAACAAAGCACTTATCTGAAGCCTGTTGAGTTTCACTTGAAATGGTTTGGCTCTATGAAACCTGATGTACTTATATGATTCTTCAAGTTTGTATCGTCTTGGTGGAATGCACTTATTGTAAGTCGCTTTGGATAAAAGCGTCGGCTAAATGAAATGTAATGTAATAATAACGTCCGCCCAAGTATATTTCACGACCTATTTAGGTTTTTTTATTTTATCCGTCCGCGAGCACTACGCCATCTGTGATCGATGAACTAGTGGACAATGGTCCCTCGCTCTACGCCTCCTGTACCTGTTCGCTCTGCCATCGCGTGAAGGGTCCGCTAATAAGCGACCAACAGAAAGGGAGACCTTACGAGAAAAAGAGAAGTCAAATGTTGTTGCACATCACTCATGCGCAACTGCGGCACAACTATGCGCTCTGCAGTAACCCCGCTGCGACGCTACGGCAAACTAACAGTTCACGAGCGTGCTCCATTAGCACCCCCCCGCGCGCGCCCGTCGTGCCCGGCTACCACCACAAGCATAATTATGTGGGAACACTGCTGTCTCCTGGTGTCTTCAGGCCTGAAAACAAGATTCTTCCTGTTGTGTTGTACATAATATAAGTTCATTTAAAACGTTTTTTTTATTCTCACGTTTCCTTCTCTTTCAGCAGAACGTGGTCTGCAGGAGGTTTTAGATGAACATAGGCTCAGTCTGAGGAGGAGATGTGAACGTGTGACTGAAGGAACTGGTGAAAGTGAAACCCTCCTCAACAGGATATTCACTGAGCTCTACATCACACAAGGCCAGAGTGAAGAGGTTAATACCCAACATGAGGTGAGGCGGCTGGAGACAGCTTCCAAGACCCTCTATTACTCTCCAATCAAGTGCCAGGACATTTTTAAAGCCTCACCTGACCAGCCTCTCATCAGAGCGGTCCTGACCAACGGAGTCGCTGGAGTTGGAAAAACCTTCTCGGTGCAGAAGTTCACTCTGGACTGGGCCGAGGGTTTGGAAAACCAAGATGTCAGTCTGGTGATCCCGCTCTCCTTCAGGGAGCTGAACCTGATCAAAGGTGAGCAGTACAGTCTTCTCAGGCTGCTCCATGTTTTCCATCCGACGTTACAGAAGGTCACAGCAGAGCAGCTGGCTGTCTGCAAAGTGCTGCTCATCTTTGACGGCCTGGATGAAAGCAGACTTTCTCTGGACTTCAGAAACAATGAGGTTGTGTCTGATGTCTCACAGAAGTCCTCAGTCAACGTGCTGCTGACAAACCTCATCAGGGGGAAGCTGCTTCCCTCGGCTCTCGTCTGGATAACTTCCAGACCTGCAGCGGCCAATCAGATCCCTTGTGAGTGTGTGGACAGGGTAACAGAAGTACGAGGCTTCACTGACGCCCAGAAGGAGGAGTACTTCAGGAGGAGATGGAGTGATAAAGACCTGTCCAGCAGAATCATCTCTCACATCAAGAGCTCCAGGAGCCTCCACATCATGTGTATGATCCCAGTCTTCTGCTGGATCACTGCTGCAGTTCTGGACCACATGTGGACTACAGACCAGAGAGGAGAGCTGCCCAAGACCCTCACTGACATGTACTCACACTTCCTGCTGGTCCAGACCAAGAGGAAGAAGCAGAAGTATGAAGAGGGACATGAGACGAGTCCACAGCAGCTGACGGAGGCTGACAGGGAGCTTCTTCTGAAGCTGGGGAGGCTGGCGTTTGAACATCTGGAGAAAGGACACATCATGTTCTACCAAGAAGACCTGCAGCGCTGTGGTCTTGATCTCACCGAGGCCTTGGTGCACTCAGGAGTTTGTACAGAGATCTTTAAAAGAGAGAGAGTGATATTCAAGAAAACAGTCTACTGCTTTGTTCATCTGAGCATTCAGGAGTTTCTGGCTGCAGTCTACATGTTGCACTGTTACACCAACAGAGACACAGAGGTACTGGAGGACTTCCTGCAGGGAGACTTGGACGATGACAACAGTGATAGCAGTGATCAGGATTACCCATCCCTGGATGTCTTCCTAAAGAGTGCCATGATGAAATCCCTCAGAAGTGAAAATGGCCACCTGGACCTGTTTGTCCGCTTTCTCCACGGCCTCTCTCTGGAGTCCAACCAGAGACTCTTAGGAGGCCTGCTGGGTCGCACAGACAACCGTCCAGAAATCATCCAGAGAGCCATCAGCAACCTGAAGGAGATGAGAAGTGATGAAGTCTCTGATGAAGACAGGAGCATCAACATCCTCCACTGTCTGACAGAGATGAAGGACCACTCAGTACATCAGGAGATCACAGAGTTCCTGAAGTCAGAGAACAGATCAGAGAAGAGACTCTCTGTGGAACGCTACTATGCTCTGGCCTACATGCTGCAGATGTCAGAGGAGGTTCTGGATGAGTTGGACCTGGAGAAGTCCAAAACATCAGAGGAGGGACGACGGAGACTGATTCCAGCTGTGAGGAACTGCAGGAACGCTGTGTGAGTCCAGATGTGATTAACTTTATAGATTAGTGTAGATAAGGATTTTAGTTTTTAAAATAAACACTATACAACTTGTTGCTGTTTCACATACTGTGAGAGCAAAATTGAATTAATACAATTATTCTAATCATTTTAAAATGTTACAGTTTTTTCTTCTCTTCATTTTCCTTGTCAAAATAATATGAAGGATGTTTTATCACAGCAACATGTGATCAGAACATACAGAATAACTTTACATATGTCATTGAATGCAGTAAAGTTATTATGAAATGATTGCAGTTTCTTTATCGTTAAATTAGACACAGAGCAATATGTGGTTTATGTTGACTCTAGTCTTCTCTAGTCTAGAAGGTAGCTAGCAGAGAGGTGACAGACATGGGATCAGATCACACTCCACCAAATATTAAATAGACTAACATCCAGTGGTAATCAGATCATGAGATTCAAAATGTTTTTCCTCAAATGCATGAAGTAAATATGTTGTTTCCCCTTTTGTTATATAAACAAATTCTGTAATATGTGTTCTAACAGAATTCCTGCCAGTGGATTCTTAGACTGGGAAGTCGTGGCCTCAGCTCTGAAGTCCGACCCCTCCGCTCTGAGAGAGCTGAAGCTGAGAGTAGATCTGCAGGATTCAGAGGTGGAGCAGCTGAGTTCTGGACTAAAGAGTCCAAACTGTAGACTGAAGACTCTGAGGTCAGATCACTGGCTGTAGTTCATGTGGTTTTGTACTGTATTTATAATTGATATATTTATAATTCCATCATTTGCCTGAGTACAAAGATATTTGAATAAGTTCACATTTCTTTCTAAATTGCTGAATATTTGACAAGAATAACAGAAAGCAGAGAAAGTAAATGTGTGAGGGGACAGTGTGTGAGCTTCCACAGACTCTCACTGTGCTCCATGAGTCAGTGAAGATGCTGTCAGTACTGATGAGCTGTGAGGGAGATGAAGGAGGTTCTTCTGATGCATTATCAATGCATTTATAGTTATTCACTATTACATTTCTAAAAGTATCTTCATCATTTTTGACATTGGCATCTGAACCCTCTCCAGGTCTGAAAAGATGATGAGACTTTGAACTATCTCAAGCAGGACCATTGTTCTCTGAACTTACATGATGTTTTCTTTATTCAGACTCTGGTGCTGCTTCTTTGTAAACTCTGTGATCTTGAGTTGAATCAGTTTCTGTGGGTTTTGATTTGTCTGGCTGCACATCACGAGTTAGTGTAGAAGGAGCAGAGTTTATGATGTGAAGTCACCACTTTTTATTGAAGGTGAAGAACGTTGTCTTTCATATTAATGAGAGCTCTTTTCACTTTTTGGATCTTACTGTTTTTAACCTGTCGGGAGTGTCCACTTTATAAACGTCTACATTCTCTACTTCTCCAGCTATAATCAGATTATTAAACCTTTCATTATTTCAATCAGGAACATTGTTTTCTAAACTTACATCATGTGTTCTTTATTCAGTCTGATGAGCTGCAGCTTGTCAGAGATCAGCTGTTCTGCTCTGATCTCAGCTCTGAAGTCCAACATCCATCTGAGAGATCTGGACCTGAGTTACAACGCTCTGGAGGATTCAGGAGTGGAGCTGCTGAGAGATGTTCTGGAGAGTCCAGACTGCAGACTGGAGACTCTCAAGTCAGTTCTCCATCTCTATCTTCTGTGCTGAGATGAATATGTGAGAGTTGTGTTGACTCTGAGCTGCAGACATCAGGCTGATATGATCCTGATCCTCACTGAGCATCTTAATGCTAAAGTCTACTTTCTTCTTCTGTGGTTTAGTTCATTGACTGTAGCAGAGCTATGCTAAAGAAAAATCATACTCTGCATAATTCACTCTGAACCTTTAAAAACCTGGAATTCATCTTTTATTCTCCGTCATGTTTTAAAATAAATGACATTATAAACACATGAATACAATAATTACATATTTCTATTAAAACTATCAAACACTAACAAATATGTTCAGTTGTTGCTGTTTCTAACATGTTTCTGAAGCTACATGATGCTCAAACTGACTGAATAGTTTAAACTGAAGATGCTGTGATCTATGTCTCCACTATTCCTGAAATAAATATTCTCTATTTATTTTGATCACATTTCTTCTAAATTCATCCTGACTTCTTTGTAAACTCTGTGATCTTGAGTTGAATCAGTTTCTGTGGGTTTTGATTTGTCTGGCTGCACATCACGAGTTAGTGTAGAAAGAGCAGAGTTTATGATGTGAAGTCACCACTTTTTATTGAAGATGAAGAACGTTGTCTTTCATATTAATGAGAGCTCTTTTCACTTTTTGGATCTTACTGTTTTTAACCTGTCGGGAGTGTCCACTTTATAAACGTCTACATTCTCTACTTCTCCAGCTATAATCAGATTATTAAACCTTTCATTATTTCAATCAGGAACATTGTTTTCTAAACTTACATCATGTGTTCTTTATTCAGTCTGGAGTGGTGCAGTTTGTCAGAGATCAGCTGTTCTGCTCTGATCTCAGCTCTGAAGTCCAACATCCATCTGAGAGATCTGGACCTGAGTTACAACGCTCTGAAGGATTCAGGAGTGGAGCTGAGAGATCTTCTGGAGAGTCCAGACTGTAGACTGAAGACTCTGAGGTCAGTAAGGGGTCGACTCAGTCTCTGCTGGTTCAGCAGGATTGTATTGAACACAGGGAGGTGGATGTGTTCCTCTCACTGGGGAATCTCTCCAGTTCCACCTTCTAGGCGTAGCCTAGCTTAGCACAACACATCAGTGATGTTACCATTTATCTGCAGTCTCTCCTTTTGTTCATCTCATGTTTCTTTTCTTGCGTTCTCCCAAGAACAATATAATGCAAGCTGACAATGCAAAGCCACATTTCAGTCAGGAGCAACTTGTTAACAGACAAATCCTACTCTGCATAATTCACTCTGATCCTTTGAACACCTGGAATTCATCTTATATTCTCCGTCATGTTTTAAAATAAATGACATTATAAACACATGAATACAATAATTAAATATTTCTATTAAAACTATCAAACACTAACAAATATGTTCAGTTGTTGCTGTTTCTAACATGTTTCTGAAGCTGCATGATGCTCAAACTGACTGAATAGTTTAAACTGAAGATGCTGTGATCTATGTCTCCACTATTCCTAAAATAAATATTCTCTATTTATTTTGATCACATTTCTTCTAAATTCATCCTGACTTCTTTGTAAACTCTGTGATCTTGAGTTGAATCAGTTTCTGTGGGTTTTGATTTGTCTGGCTGCACATCACGAGTTAGTGTAGAAGGAGCAGAGTTTATGATGTGAAGTCACCACTTTTTATTGAAGATGAAGAACGTTGTCTTTCATATTAATGAGAGCTCTTTTCACTTTTTGGATCTTACTGTTTTTAACCTGTCGGGAGTGTCCACTTTATAAACGTCTACATTCTCTACTTCTCCAGCTATAATCAGATTATTAAACCTTTCATTATTTCAATCAGGAACATTGTTTTCTAAACTTACATCATGTGTTCTTTATTCAGTCTGGAGTACTGCAGCTTGTCAGAGATCAGCTGTTCTGCTCTGATCTCAGCTCTGAAGTCCAACATCCATCTGAGAGATCTGGACCTGAGTGCCAACGCTCTTCAGGATTCAGGAGTGGAGCTGCTGATAGATCTTCTGGAGAGCCCAGACTGCAGACTGGAGACTCTCAGGTCAGTTCTCCATCTCTATCTTCTGTGCTGAGATGAATATGTGAGAGTTGTGTTGACTCTGAGCTGCAGACATCAGGCTGATATGATCCTGATCCTCACTGAGCATCTTAATGCTAAAGTCTACTTTCTTCTTCTGTGGTTTAGTTCATTGACTGTAGCAGAGCTATGTTAAAGAAAAATCATACTCTGCATAATTCACTCTGAACCTTTAAACACCTGGAATTCATCTTTTATTCTCCGTCATGTTTTAAAATAAATGACATTATAAACACATGAATACACTAATTACATATTTCTATTAGGGCTGTCAAGTTAACGCGTTAATAACGCGTTAACGCAAAAAAAAAAATTAACGCCACTAATTATTTTAACGCGATTAACGCATGTGTATTTTTTGTCCTCGGCCGCCCCGTAGTTTCAGAGCGCATCGAGTTTAAAATACCATCTACAAGCTGATGCTGACAGCCCCGCTCCTGCCGCCCGCTTGTGGCAGACCACACTTCCACGCTCACCGGGAGGCCCGGACTGGCCATCGGGAGGACCGGGAGGGTGTGATTGATTGATTGAAAAGTTTATTAACAGCTTGTATATTGGGTACAGTACAGTACAGCTCAAAACATACAATTGTTAAGGGGATGCAGACCAGAGAAAGACTTTCGTCTTGTTTACATCAGGGTCCCCCATTTCCAATTCATCATATCATTTAAGACATATAAGACATATTTGACATACAGATGGCTTATTTACAATTTACATATAGGTGGTTTTTTACATACAGATGGCTTAATTACAATTTTCATTTTAGATTTCGTTCTAATACATCCTAACCGGACATTTAAGACATACCAAGTCTACAGATATACAGTTAGTAACAGAGTCTAAAATGCGAGTATATACATAGATGCGGGGGGGAAGCTGTCCATTGTACGACAGGTTGAGATTTGTACCATTACCGGGGCCAGTTTTGCAATGCTTTCCCCCGAAGGTGCTCTTTAAGAGAGGTTTTGAAGGTAAGTATAGTTTTACTTTCCTTTACAGTTGTGGGAAGAGCGTTCCACCTTGATGTGGCATAATTGCGAAACGTGTATTTCCCCTTTTTTGTGCCAAATCTGGGTTTTACATGATTTGTGGAGCTCCCTCTGGTGTTATGATCATGGTATTCCTTGACCTTTAGGAAGAATTTTGACATGTACATGGGTACCATAGAGGTGTAGTGGATCTTGTAGACCAGGCCCATTGCAAGTTGCTGTACTCTGTCGTCTACTCTAAGCCATCCTAGGTTGTCAAAGTGGGCAGAGGTGAGGTGGGTTCTAGATGAAAGGTCAAGCAGTAGTCTGACCAGTTTATTTTGCGATGTTTGAAGTTTTATTTTTAGCGCCTTGGAGGTGCTATGGTACCATGACGTGCAAGCATAGTCATAGTACCCTTGAATGAGTGCTCCTGCCAGAGTTTTCAGGGTGTTTTTGTTTACCAGAGAGGAGATCCGGTATAGGAATCTAGTTCTTTGATTGACTTTTTTTATTACATTGGATGCCATTTTGTCACAGGAGAGGTTTGCCTGAAGAATAGATCCTAGGTATTTAATTTCCTTCTTACTAGTGACAATAATGTCACCCACTGCAACTGAGAAGTCGTCGGATTTGCTGAGATTATGTTTCGAACCGAAGAGAATGGACTCTGTTTTACCCAGGTGTAATGATAATTTATTATTGGCGAGCCAGGTGCAGATTCTGCCGAGCTCGGAGCTGAGGGTTTTTTTCAACCTGCAATCTGCTCCTGTCAGAGACCAGCAGGGCTGAGTCGTCCGCGAACAGGAACAAGTTGCAGTCACATGCTGATGACATGTCATTTGCATAAATTAGGAACAGTAACGGACCCTAATATGCTTCCTTGTGGAACACCACAGCTCACTGGGAGGGGGGGGACAGAGTACCGTTTACCTCCACCATCTGTTCTCTCCCCTCCAGGTAGGATTGCATCCAGCTCACCGATAGTTTATCAAAACCAATTGCTTTTAGCTTGTCAATCAGAATGGGGTGATTGACAGTGTCGAAAGCCTTTTGTAGGTCCAGCATCACCATGCCGCAGTATTTACCCTCGTCCACCTCTTGTTTGATGTGGTCGTTCAAATAAAGAAGGCATGTGTCAGTGGAGTGGGATGTTCTAAAGCCAGATTGAAATTCATAGATTAGTTTCTTTTCCGCGAGGTACTTTTCGACCTGTTCATATACTATTTTTTCCATGACTTTCGAGATGGAGGTAAGTATAGAAACAGGGCGGTAGTTGCCTGGGTCCAATTTGCTGCCCTTTTTGTGCAGGGGGGTTACTCTTGCAATTTTGAAGTCTTTGGGAACTTTTCCCTGTTTTATGGAGAGGTTAATTATGTGAGCTATGACTGGTGAGATGGTGGTTGCTGTGTCTCTGAGGAATTTGGAGGGGATATTGTCGTGGCCAGTGGCCTTGTTAGGTTTGAGGGCGCTCAGTTTAATGAGTACCTCTGCTGTTGTTACCCTTGCTAGACTGAAATCATCTTTGCGTACCCCTAGGTTTTTGTAGTAGGTCATGATGTGATCTACTCCAAAAAGCCCTGAGTGGGAGGGTAATTTATTTACAAGAGTTGTGGCTATGTTTGTGAAAAAAATGTTCAAGTACTTGGCCACATCCAGTTTGTCTGTGATGAGCCTGTTATCTGTCTTTGTGTGTATGTGTGGCGCGACTCGCCACACATACACAACTTGAAAAATATCCCTCTAAGGTACATTTAGAACAGATAAAAAATGTGCGATTCATTTGCGATTAATCGCGATTAACTATGGACAATCATGCGATTAATCGCGATTAAATATTTTAATCAACTGACAGCCCTAATTTCTATTAAAACTATCAAACACTAACAAATATGTTCAGTTGTTGCTGTTTCTAACATGTTTCTGAAGCTGCATGATGCTCAAACTGACTGAATAGTTTACACTGAAGATGCTGTGATCTATGTCTCCACTATTCCTGAAATAAATATTCTCTATTTATTTTGATCACATTTCTTCTAAATTCATCCTGACTTCTTTGTAAACTCTGTGATCTTGAGTTGAATCAGTTTCTGTGGGTTTTGATTTGTCTGGCTGCACATCACAAGTTAGTGTAGAAGGAGCAGAGTTTATGATGTGAAGTCACCACTTTTTATTGAAGGTGAAGAACGTTGTCTTTCATATTAATGAGAGCTCTTTTCACTTTTTGGACCTTACTGTTTTTAACCTGTCGGGAGAGTCCACTTTATAAACGTCTACATTCTCTACTTCTCCAGCTATAATCAGATTATTAAACCTTTCATTATTTCAATCAGGAACATTGTTTTCTAAACTTACATCATGTGTTCTTTATTCAGACTGGAGGGCTGCAGCTTGTCAGAGATCAGCTGTTCTGCTCTGGCCTCAGCTCTGAAGTCCAACATCCATCTGAGACATCTGGACCTGAGTGCCAACGATCTGAAGGATTCAGGAGTGGAGCTGAGAGATCTTCTGGAGAGGCCAGACTGCAGACTGGAGACTCTCAGGTCAGTAAGGGGTCGACTCAGTCTCTGCTGGTTCAGCAGGATTGTATTGAACACAGGGAGGTGGATGTGTTCCTCTCACTGGGGAATCTCTCCAGTTCCACCTTCCAGGCGTAGCCTAGCTTAGCACAACACATCAGTGATGTTACCATTTATCTGCAGTTTCTCCTTTTGTTCATCTCATGTTTCTTTTCTTGCGTTCTCCCAAGAACAATATAATGCAAGCTGACAATGCAAAGCCACATTTCAGTCAGGAGCAACTTGTTAACAGACAAATCCTACTCTGCATAATTCACTCTGATCCTTTAAACACCTGAGTTGAAACTCGACGCTTAAAGGGCCCCCCCTTGCGTTGGAAAGTGACGACAGGGACCCTGACACAACGTCAACATAGGCCGAGTTGTGAGTGAGAATGTGTTGTTCAGTCAGCTGCAACTCATTAACAGACACATTTTACAGTTAAAAAGTGAGTCTGTTTGTTTTTTCTATGAAGTTGTTTTGTTCCTGGACTAATGCCTAGTTAACTCTGTAATGCAGCTGAGAGCTGTGGCAGTCAGTCGTAGTGTTTGCAGAGAGGATATGATGGGATGTGAAGCATTGGATCAGGACTCTGAAGCTGACTCAAAGAACAAACACTTATTTTAAACTGGATCTCAAACTGTTGGATTGTGTTCATCCCTACAGGATCGGATATGGTGGAGAGACGTTCAGATCCACGATCCAGAAGACCTGTGAGTACTGAAACCATGTCCTCCATTCATCAAGATATTGTACAATAAATCTGATCTTAAAAGGTATTTATAGTACAATAATTATTATTATTGTTTTATTATTATTTTTCTCACCTCTTCTCTCCATCAGGTGACTCCGATGTGGAACAGGAAGTGAAGACAGACACAAAGGTGAGAGAGGAGCAGCTGCACAGAGTTGAAGCTAGAACTTAACTTGATTTCTAATATAATAAATAACTTTGTTTGTTCCAGGCTCCTGAATCCTTCTCACCTGAACACACACCTGAGTCTTCATACAGGTATATATTCATTTCATTGTGTTTGATGTCATGTCTTTCACCTTGAGGTTTTGCATCCAATCTCTTTCCAGCAGACATGAATAAAATAATGCCTCTGTGTGTAGGATTGTTTTCTTGTACCAGTCTAGATCCTCGCTGGACTAGACATTTTGTTAATTTAATGAAAGTGTACACACACATCCTGATGCATGTGGACACATCTTCAGTGATGTTCCTGTAACCATCAGGTGTTTCAGATCTTTCAACAAACCTTCCTCCAGGTCAGATCCAGCTGGATGAACACCTGTCAGTCAGAACACAGGCCAGTGAAGGCTTCTTGTAGTAACTTGTCTCTTGTGTGTCTACAGGTTCAGGTGTACTGGTCCAGGTGAGTTCCAGTGTGCTTCGACTGGCCTGGTGTTCATCATGGCTAAGGAGGCGGAGCTTCTGTACAGGACGGCCCCTTGGGATGAGAGTCTCCTCCAATCAGCTGGCAAGCAGGCAGCAGGGCCGCTGTTCGACGTGAAGAGTTCTGATGAAGCTGCCGTCTGCCAGCTCCACCTGCCGCACAGTGAGACAGAGGATGGTAAAGACATCTAGTGTTAACAAATACACTTATATAATGTTTAGCACCTTATGATATCCACTACCGTTAAAAAGTTATAAAGCAGCTTTATTAAACTAGTTTAACAAAGATAAGTTAATTCAGACACAAAATCTGTTCTTTACATTCAAAATAGTCGTGCCCCCAAAAGAAGAAGAATTAAATCATTAAAAACATCCATTTAAAGGTGGGGTATGTCATTTATTTCAGAAACACTTGTTATATTCCATGGAATACTCTTAACATCCCGATAGCAATGAATATATTAAATGCTTTGACAATAAATACATTAAAAAATGTAATCTGTGGAAGCCGTGGCCAGTCATCTGCCTCGGCCCGGGGCAGATGACTGGATGGCCTACCTGCCTGTCAGCCTTCCATCTCGTGCACAAACTTATCTCGTGCCCTCATTGGTCATGTGCGCGTTCGTGTGTGTTGGAGGAGGTTGTGTATTTTCAAATTCTGCACTCGAGCTGGTTTCTCCAAAATTACCTACCCCACCTTTAATCGATGTGTTTCATGACATCATTATTGAAGCAGACGATGCAATGCAGCTCTAAATACTGAGTTGGAGTGTCTTTGGGCCTCTGCAGTCTCCTCACTGTATATTAAAGACATGTAAACTGTGACCTGTCAGTCCACAGCATGTTTAGCTGCTAACAGTGCTAACTCAACGCTAACTCACTCTAAGCTAGCAGTTTGATTAATTATTACTTTGTTATCCATCTGTTGCTCTTTCTGCTCTCTACATTGTCAGTCTGGCTGAAGCATGTACAAAAAAAAACAGACAACAACATTTATAAGTTAGACTTTCTACGCCCTGAAAGCTTTAGAAAACTCTTCACACGTCTAGAGAATCACTCAGACATGAGACCGAACACAGTCAAGCTGTTCTGGCTGCAGATTACAAACATCTCAGCAGTCTTTTAAATTAGAAAATAATTACGCATGCTCACCTCCAGAAAGATCACAGGGGAACGGAACAACAATTAAACATTAACATAAAAGGTGGAGGATATAAACTGGTACATCCCAGTGAGGCTCCAAAGTGAATGACATCAGATGAACATTAGCTCTGAACTAAAGTGTCATTGAATATGATGAAGCTGTTTCAGCAGCAAAGCAACAGATGACCAGCTCTTTGCTCCACAGCGCTGCTCCTGGACGGCCTGTTGTCTGTCGTCCACATCACTGATGAAGGCCTGAGCGTCTTGGAGCCGCTGGAGGTCACACGCACTCACGTGGTGGTGAAGGTGCTTCATCTCTCTTCCTTTGGCGTTATCATCGATACATTGAAAAGGTTTCTAGGGTGGCCGATAAATGGCCAAATTCTGCTGTTCCTACGACCCGCGGACAGAGTGGATCAAATACTGGATGTACATCTTCTGCAGAACAACGTCCTTGTGGAGGAGGTAATGTGCTCACCATCAGACTAAACACTGGTTTTAAACCTGTTTCCACACACACTGCTCCTCTTCGCAAACGTTCTCGTGCTGGGAGAAGATTAAGATCTGAAGTGAATCTTTTGCGTATATTGCTTGTGCAGATTTAATAATTATTTCTTCATTATTAACATGGAGTGCCACACTCTACTTTGGTTATCAAACTCGAAGTTTACCTCAATACTTTAAAATACGTTAAAAAAGACATTAAGAAGTAGAGGCCCCCTACTGAGAGAGATAATATGATAGCAGTTGATAAAGTCAGTTGAGTAGCACTTGAAATGTGTTGGCTCTATGAAACCTGATGTACTTATATGATTCTGTTTTCTTCAAGTTTGTATCTTCTTGGTCGAATGCACTTATTGTAAGTCGCTTGGGATAAAAGCTTCAGCTAAATGTAATGTAATGTAATGTAATAGCACGATAGTTTCATTCTTTTAAAGTCTTTAAGCACGTTTTCTCTGCGGTCAGCACCAACTCTAGGCGGATGGACTACTAGTTACTTTAATACTAACTAGAAAATGCATTTCCTGCTGAAAATGCGTAGAGAGTCAGGATGTAGAGAGTCAGGATGATGAGAGTCAGGATGTAGAGAGTCAGGATGTAGAGAGTCAGGATGATGAGAGTCAGGATGTAGAGAGTCAGGATGTAGAGAGTCAGGATGATGAGAGTCAGGACGTAGAGAGTCAGGATGTAGAGAGTCAGGATGTAGAGAGTCAGGATGATGAGAGTCAGGATGTAGAGAGTCAGGATGATGAGAGTCAGGATGATGAGAGTCAGGACGTAGAGAGTCAGGATGTAGAGAGTCAGGATGTAGAGAGTCAGGATGATGAGAGTCAGGATGTAGAGAGTCAGGAAGTAGAGAGTCAGGATGATGAGAGTCAGGATGTAGAGAGTCAGGATGTAGAGAGTCAGGATGATGAGAGTCAGGATGTAGAGAGTCAGGAAGTAGAGAGTCAGGATGATGAGAGTCAGGATGTAGAGAGTCAGGATGTAGAGAGTCAGGACGATGAGAGTCAGGACGTAGAGAGTCAGGATGTAGAGAGTCAGGATGTAGAGAGTCAGGACGATGAGAGTCAGGACGTAGAGAGTCAGGACGTAGAGATAGGTAGAGAGTCAGGATGTAGAGAGTCAGGATGTAGAGAGTCAGGATGATGAGAGTCAGGATGTAGAGAGTCAGGATGTAGAGAGTCAGGAAGTAGAGAGTCAGGATGATGAGAGTCAGGATGTAGAGAGTCAGGAAGTAGAGAGTCAGGATGATGAGAGTCAGGATGTAGAGAGTCAGGATGATGAGAGTCAGGATGTAGAGAGTCAGGAAGTAGAGAGTCAGGATGATGAGAGTCAGGATGTAGAGAGTCAGGACGTAGAGAGTCAGGATGTAGAGAGTCAGGATGTAGAGAGTCAGGATGTAGAGAGTCAGGATGATGAGAGTCAGGATGTAGAGAGTCAGGAAGTAGAGAGTCAGGATGTAGAGAGTCAGGATGATGAGAGTCAGGATGTAGAGAGTCAGGATGATGAGAGTCAGGATGTAGAGAGTCAGGATGTAGAGAGTCAGGGATGTAGAGAGTCAGGACGTAGAGAGTCAGGACGTAGAGAGTCAGGACGTAGAGAGTCAGGAAGTAGAGAGTCAGGATGATGAGAGTCAGGATGATGAGAGTCAGGACGTAGAGAGTCAGGACGTAGAGAGTCAGGACGTAGAGAGTCAGGACGTAGAGAGTCAGGACGATGAGAGTCAGGATGTAGAGAGTCAGGATGATGAGAGTCAGGATGATGAGAGTCAGGACGTAGAGAGTCAGGACGTAGAGAGTCAGGACGTAGAGAGTCAGGACGATGAGAGTCAGGATGTAGAGAGTCAGGACGTAGAGAGTCAGGACGTAGAGAGTCAGGACGTAGAGAGTCAGGAAGTAGAGAGTCAGGATGATGAGAGTCAGGATGATGAGAGTCAGGACGTAGAGAGTCAGGACGTAGAGAGTCAGGACGTAGAGAGTCAGGACGTAGAGAGTCAGGACGATGAGAGTCAGGATGTAGAGAGTCAGGATGATGAGAGTCAGGACGTAGAGAGTCAGGACGTAGAGAGTCAGGACGTAGAGAGTCAGGACGATGAGAGTCAGGATGTAGAGAGTCAGGATGTAGAGAGTCAGGACGATGAGAGTCAGGACGTAGAGAGTCAGGACGATGAGAGTCAGGACGTAGAGAGTCAGGACGTAGAGAGTCAGGACGTAGAGAGTCAGGACGTAGAGAGTCAGGACGTAGAGAGTCAGGATGATGAGAGTCAGGATGTAGAGAGTCAGGATGATGAGAGTCAGGATGATGAGAGTCAGGACGTAGAGAGTCAGGATGATGAGAGTCAGGACGTAGAGAGTCAGGATGATGAGAGTCAGGACGTAGAGAGTCAGGACGTAGAGAGTCAGGATGATGAGAGTCAGGATGTAGAGAGTCAGGAAGTAGAGAGTCAGGATGTAGAGAGTCAGGATGTAGAGAGTCAGGATGATGAGAGTCAGGATGTAGAGAGTCAGGATGATGAGAGTCAGGATGTAGAGAGTCAGGATGATGAGAGTCAGGATGTAGAGAGTCAGGAAGTAGAGAGTCAGGATGTAGAGAGTCAGGAAGTAGAGAGTCAGGATGTAGAGAGTCAGGACGATGAGAGTCAGGATGTAGAGAGTCAGGATGATGAGAGTCAGGATGTAGAGAGTCAGGAAGTAGAGAGTCAGGATGTAGAGAGTCAGGATGATGAGAGTCAGGATGTAGAGAGTCAGGATGATGAGAGTCAGGACGTAGAGAGTCAGGACGTAGAGAGTCAGGACGTAGAGAGTCAGGACGATGAGAGTCAGGATGTAGAGAGTCAGGAAGTAGAGAGTCAGGATGTAGAGAGTCAGGATGATGAGAGTCAGGATGTAGAGAGTCAGGATGATGAGAGTCAGGATGTAGAGAGTCAGGATGTAGAGAGTCAGGATGTAGAGAGTCAGGACGTAGAGAGTCAGGACGTAGAGAGTCAGGACGTAGAGAGTCAGGAAGTAGAGAGTCAGGATGATGAGAGTCAGGATGATGAGAGTCAGGACGTAGAGAGTCAGGACGTAGAGAGTCAGGACGTAGAGAGTCAGGACGTAGAGAGTCAGGACGATGAGAGTCAGGATGTAGAGAGTCAGGATGATGAGAGTCAGGATGATGAGAGTCAGGACGTAGAGAGTCAGGACGTAGAGAGTCAGGACGTAGAGAGTCAGGACGATGAGAGTCAGGATGTAGAGAGTCAGGACGTAGAGAGTCAGGACGTAGAGAGTCAGGACGTAGAGAGTCAGGAAGTAGAGAGTCAGGATGATGAGAGTCAGGATGATGAGAGTCAGGACGTAGAGAGTCAGGACGTAGAGAGTCAGGACGTAGAGAGTCAGGACGTAGAGAGTCAGGACGATGAGAGTCAGGATGTAGAGAGTCAGGATGATGAGAGTCAGGACGTAGAGAGTCAGGACGTAGAGAGTCAGGACGTAGAGAGTCAGGACGATGAGAGTCAGGATGTAGAGAGTCAGGATGTAGAGAGTCAGGACGATGAGAGTCAGGACGTAGAGAGTCAGGACGATGAGAGTCAGGACGTAGAGAGTCAGGACGTAGAGAGTCAGGATGATGAGAGTCAGGACGTAGAGAGTCAGGACGTAGAGAGTCAGGACGTAGAGAGTCAGGATGATGAGAGTCAGGATGTAGAGAGTCAGGATGATGAGAGTCAGGATGATGAGAGTCAGGACGTAGAGAGTCAGGATGATGAGAGTCAGGACGTAGAGAGTCAGGATGATGAGAGTCAGGACGTAGAGAGTCAGGACGTAGAGAGTCAGGATGATGAGAGTCAGGATGTAGAGAGTCAGGAAGTAGAGAGTCAGGATGTAGAGAGTCAGGATGTAGAGAGTCAGGATGTAGAGAGTCAGGATGATGAGAGTCAGGATGTAGAGAGTCAGGATGATGAGAGTCAGGATGTAGAGAGTCAGGATGATGAGAGTCAGGATGTAGAGAGTCAGGAAGTAGAGAGTCAGGATGTAGAGAGTCAGGAAGTAGAGAGTCAGGATGTAGAGAGTCAGGACGATGAGAGTCAGGATGTAGAGAGTCAGGATGATGAGAGTCAGGATGTAGAGAGTCAGGAAGTAGAGAGTCAGGATGTAGAGAGTCAGGATGATGAGAGTCAGGACGTAGAGAGTCAGGACGTAGAGAGTCAGGACGTAGAGAGTCAGGACGATGAGAGTCAGAACGATGAGAGTCAGGACGATGAGAGTCAGGACGTAGAGAGTCAGGAGTCAGGATGATGAGAGTCAGGATGTAGAGAGTCAGGACGATGAGAGTCAGAACGATGAGAGTCAGGATGATGAGAGTCAGGACGTAGAGAGTCAGGATGTAGAGAGTCAGGACGTAGAGAGTCAGGAGTCAGGATGATGAGAGTCAGGATGATGAGAGTCAGGACGTAGAGAGTCAGGACGATGAGAGTCAGGACGTAGAGAGTCAGGACGTAGAGAGTCAGGAGTCAGGATGATGAGAGTCAGGATGATGAGAGTCAGAACGATGAGAGTCAGGATGATGAGAGTCAGGACGTAGAGAGTCAGGATGATGAGAGTCAGGACGTAGAGAGTCAGGACGTAGAGAGTCAGGACGTAGAGAGTCAGGACGTAGAGAGTCAGGAGTCAGGATGATGAGAGTCAGGATGTAGAGAGTCAGGACGTAGAGAGTCAGGACGTAGAGAGTCAGGATGTAGAGAGTCAGGATGATGAGAGTCAGGACGTAGAGAGTCAGGACGTAGAGAGTCAGGACGATGAGAGTCAGGACGTAGAGAGTCAGGACGATGAGAGTCAGGACGTAGAGAGTCAGGACGTAGAGAGTCAGGATGTAGAGAGTCAGGATGATGAGAGTCAGGACGTAGAGAGTCAGGATGATGAGAGTCAGGATGATGAGAGTCAGGATGTAGAGAGTCAGGATGTAGAGAGTCAGGATGATGAGAGTCAGGACGTAGAGAGTCAGGATGATGAGAGTCAGGATGATGAGAGTCAGGACGTAGAGAGTCAGGATGTAGAGAGTCAGGATGTAGAGAGTCAGGACGTAGAGAGTCAGGATGTAGAGAGTCAGGATGTAGAGAGTCAGGATGTAGAGAGTCAGGATGTAGAGAGTCAGGATGTAGAGAGTCAGGAAGTAGAGAGTCAGGATGATGAGAGTCAGGACGTAGAGAGTCAGGACGTAGAGAGTCAGGACGATGAGAGTCAGGACGTAGAGAGTCAGGACGATGAGAGTCAGGATGTAGAGAGTCAGGATGATGAGAGTCAGGATGTAGAGAGTCAGGACGATGAGAGTCAGGATGTAGAGAGTCAGGATGTAGAGAGTCAGGATGATGAGAGTCAGGATGTAGAGAGTCAGGATGTAGAGAGTCAGGATGATGAGAGTCAGGATGTAGAGAGTCAGGACGTAGAGAGTCAGGACGCAGAGAGTCAGGATGTAGAGAGTCAGGATGTAGAGAGTCAGGACGTAGAGAGTCAGGATGTAGAGAGTCAGGAGTCAGGATGTAGAGAGTCAGGACGTAGAGAGTCAGGATGTAGAGAGTCAGGATGTAGAGAGTCAGGACGTAGAGAGTCAGGATGTAGAGAGTCAGGATGTAGAGAGTCAGGACGTAGAGAGTCAGGATGTAGAGAGTCAGGATGTAGAGAGTCAGGACGTAGAGAGTCAGGATGTAGAGAGTCAGGATGTAGAGAGTCAGGACGTAGAGAGTCAGGACGTAGAGAGTCAGGACGTAGAGAGTCAGGACGTAGAGAGTCAGGACGTAGAGAGTCAGGATGTAGAGAGTCAGGACGTAGAGAGTCAGGACGCAGAGAGTCAGGATGTAGAGAGTCAGGATGTAGAGAGTCAGGACGTAGAGAGTCAGGACGCAGAGAGTCAGGACGTAGAGAGTCAGGATGTAGAGAGTCAGGATGATGAGAGTCAGGATGTAGAGAGTCAGGACGTAGAGAGTCAGGATGTAGAGAGTCAGGACGTAGAGAGTCAGGATGTAGAGAGTCAGGACGATGAGAGTCAGGATGTAGAGAGTCAGGATGATGAGAGTCAGGATGTAGAGAGTCAGGATGATGAGAGTCAGGACGTAGAGAGTCAGGATGTAGAGAGTCAGGATGATGAGAGTCAGGATGTAGAGAGTCAGGATGTAGAGAGTCAGGACGTAGAGAGTCAGGACGATGAGAGTCAGGATGTAGAGAGTCAGGACGTAGAGAGTCAGGACGATGAGAGTCAGGATGTAGAGAGTCAGGATGATGAGAGTCAGGATGTAGAGAGTCAGGACGATGAGAGTCAGGATGTAGAGAGTCAGGATGATGAGAGTCAGGATGTAGAGAGTCAGGACGATGAGAGTCAGGATGTAGAGAGTCAGGATGATGAGAGTCAGGATGTAGAGAGTCAGGACGATGAGAGTCAGGATGTAGAGAGTCAGGACGATGAGAGTCAGGATGTAGAGAGTCAGGACGATGAGAGTCAGGATGTAGAGAGTCAGGATGATGAGAGTCAGGATGTAGAGAGTCAGGACGTAGAGAGTCAGGACGATGAGAGTCAGGATGTAGAGAGTCAGGATGATGAGAGTCAGGATGATGAGAGTCAGGATGTAGAGAGTCAGGACGATGAGAGTCAGGATGTATGAGAGTCAGGATGTAGAGAGTCAGGATGATGAGAGTCAGGATGTAGAGAGTCAGGATGATGAGAGTCAGGATGTAGAGAGTCAGGATGATGAGAGTCAGGATGTAGAGAGTCAGGATGATGAGAGTCAGGATGTAGAGAGTCAGGACGATGAGAGTCAGGATGTAGAGAGTCAGGATGATGAGAGTCAGGATGTAGAGAGTCAGGACGTAGAGAGTCAGGACGATGAGAGTCAGGATGTAGAGAGTCAGGATGATGAGAGTCAGGATGTAGAGAGTCAGGATGTAGAGAGTCAGGATGTAGAGAGTCAGGATGTAGAGAGTCAGGATGATGAGAGTCAGGATGTAGAGAGTCAGGACGATGAGAGTCAGGATGTAGAGAGTCAGGACGATGAGAGTCAGGACGTAGAGAGTCAGGACGTAGAGAGTCAGGACGTAGAGAGTCAGGATGTAGAGAGTACAGTGGGCTCATAGGGAGGGGGGGGGGCAGGAGCTCCAACAAGCCGTTTAGGACAGAGAGTGAATACACATACTATACAGAGATGCTGTATGAGAAACCAATGTGAGTTTGGAACATTGAACAATGTAAATCTATTCTAGTAGACCTCAACAATGGAATTATGATCAGTAGAAATGGCCATGCCATGGGATCTTTAATGGCGAGTACGGCAAATAAGAGTTGTAACAAGTAGTAGCGCTGAGCAAATTGAGAACACGACGACACACTTATAAAAGAAAACACACTTTATAAAGTCAGGCAACACTAACCAGGCTTCGTGTGATTCTGTTTATTTGTACCTTACTTTGACCATCCGTTCGCTGTTATTGATCATTGGAGAGCAGGCAGACGTGTTGTTTTGTATTATAGCAGCTATCGGATGGAATCAATACATGGACTGCACAGGTTGTCATGTCCGACTATCACAAGTAGAATCATAATGAAAAATACGCCGGTAAAATGTGCCTGTAGAAAACGGCTTATGCCACAAGTTAAAGCAACAAGCAACAAGTAGCCTAGTCAATATAGTCAGTTTAGCTTCGGTTGCTATGCTAACATCACCCATGTTATACCAGAGAAACTTTCATAACAGCGTTGTGATGCCAAACAGCGTCAATTCAGACTGACACACATTCACTTATTATGTCATGATGCAGCAGCGGCAGCACCAGTCGGGCTCTGAGTGGTGGAAACACTAAAGAGAAGAACCAGTTAAGCACCAGAAAAAGAACGGATCTTGAACCGGAACCGTTTTGGTGGAAAAGGGGCAAGAGGCAACCATTATAAAATGTACCAAAACCTAAACTGGGATAAGTAAAAAACTGTAGAAGATATAAAAAATCTGAATACAAGTTCAATAGCTGAACGTCTTGTGTCTGTTTTAAAGTTGGAATGAAAGTATGTGGAAGGAGTAGCATTTGGTGCACGCTGTAGCTAAAAGAGGATTTGAAGGTTCCTCCCATTGAGTTACATGTTAAAAAAATAGTTTATAAAGATGAATATTTCAAAAAGTATACAAAGTTTTGAAGTCATTTAAAGTTTTCCATCATGTGCTGAAAAGGCTGAATATTTTTGATATTTGGTTTCTGTAGCTGAAAGTATGCTGAAGTTATTGAGGGCTAAAATATAGAATAGAAGAATAAAGAAAAGGAATTAACTATTTGCTAATTTCCACCAGGCAAGACGTCTCGACGACGGGGAGTATTTGTTTAGATCAGTGGAGCAAAAAATCCTTAAACCGTGGGTTTTGTGCCGTTAAGGTTCGTTGTGGCTTTACAACATCCTTTGCTTGTCCTCAGGTCAGAGCCGGACATTAAGTATTAAAACTGGGGAGTTTTGTCCTTGATCTTCCATTAGACATCATAGTGATGTTAGCCATGGCTAGCCAACCCTCTGGTAGTTTTTAGGGATTAGAGCCGGCATCTTGTGTGATCGCATACAGGAATGGGTCATGTGATTAATATGCATTAATTCTTTTAACGCGTCAAGGTTTCCAGATTAATCGCAAGTTTTGACACGTTAAAGGTGGGGTAGGTAAGTTTGAGAAACCGTCTCGAGATACACTTTTTGTTATATTCCATGGAATGCTCTTAACATCCCGATAGCAATGAATATCTTAAGTGCTTTGACAAAAAATCCATAAAAAAATATCATCTGTGGAAGCTGTAGTACTGTAAAAAGCACGACCAATCATTTTAGCCGGCCCGGCTAAAATAACTGGATGGCCTACCTGCCTGTCAGCCTTCCATCTGTGCACAAACTTATCTCGTGCCCTCATTGGTCATGTGCACGTTCGTGTGTGTTGGAGGAGGGGCTCTATAAGGAAGTGGCAGATTTTCTCCGGTTGTGTATTTTCAAATTCTAGCGATCTCGAGCCGGTTTCTCAAACTTACCTACCCCACCTTTAATGTTGACAACCCTAATAAATATATAGAGAATGTGTTGGAGTGGAATTTCATCAAAAAGTATCTAACCTATACACTTTAATTAATCTACACACAATATGTCCACACACTGTTATTCTTAATTGATTGTAATTCTTATATCTCTGTAGAGCAGGTCTGTCAACATGTTGTTTTAAATTGATCAAAATGTCCTGTTACTGAAGGTTGCTGAAAAACAAAGAGGTACTGTGAACATCAGACTCTCCTCCGACTGTGAGCTGCACATTCATCACAAATACAGTGTGCACTGTGAACCTGAGGGCTTCCTCACACACCCTGAGGTGAGTCACTGATACTCTTCTAAAGAAACACAATGATCATTTACACACATGTATCTGCATGTGGATCCACAATCAGGAAAGATCCAGATCAACATTTAACTTCTCCTTCTGGTTTTCAGAGTAAAAAATTTGAATCCAGGTTTGGACCAAACTACCATCCGACATTTCTAGTTTACCTGACGACGAGCACAGAGAAAGTGGTGTTGAAGGTCAAGGACCAAGATGGAAACGTTGTCTGGTCTTGTCCCGTATCACTGGAAGGTAAAGACTCCACCTGAGCTCAGACCCAGTGATAGACTGGATAACTCTAAAGCTCCATCTCATAGCCTTCTCTATTAAGGCTCCATGGCAGCGCATCATTACGACCTTAAACACACAACCTGTAATATTCCTAAACTATAGTAAAAACTAGTGTGGTGGTGAAACAGCGTGGCATCATGGGAGTTGTAGTCTTCATCTTCTAATGGTTAATTGGATACAGCGCCATTACAGGAGACCGTGATGAACGTACTGTTACCTTTAAAATTACACATCTCTCTGAACCATTTGGGATAATGTACGTACACAACTCAACAAAACATGAATAACATAGGTGTAGGAGATTTTATACATGTTAACCTGTTAAGCCCTGAGCCTGTCTTTCAGGTTTCAGGCTCGAAAATGACATTCCCAGAACAAATGACCATATCTTCCCTTCTAAAAAGGTTAAATTAATAAACTTTTTTCTCAAAGCAATGATAAACCTGTGAGTTGGATGTAGAAGAGTCAGAATCAATATATAATTGTTTTATTTTAAAGTCAATTCAGATTGAACATAGTAAATGATAGTGTCCGTCCAAAAAAAATACATTACTTATAGTGAAAACCACCCTTGAATGATGGGATAAAAACTAAAGTTACCAAAGAGGAGTGATTGTGACGCGCAGCAAAACGAAAGCAATGTTATGCTCTGAAGGCTGAAAACTGAAACCTAGGCTCAGATTAGTAAATATGAAGATGGATTATCAGTAATCATTTCAAAGTGACACAGACACATTGGATTAACCTTCAGCAGCGTTTTATCGTTTTGATGCCATTGAACACGACTTTTGATCAGAAACAGCAACTAAGGTGAGAATATGTCCCCGTTTCCTCCGTGAAGCTACGTGTTGTGATGTCTGTGTTTGCTTCCCCTGTCGCGAATGTTATCGCTTAGAGATGATACTGATATCTCTGGAATCTGTGGAATCTCACGATGCTAATCGCCGGATTGCATGTGCAGTTACGATAAGTAATAAGGGTATATACCGTGATTTCTGTGCTAACTGTGTTAGCATTTTTTCGCTCAGGGCTAATTCAGAGGCTCAGCGTTAGAGTTGTGTTTCGTTTGGCTAAAAATGGTTCATATCGTCAGTTAGCTGAGTTTCTTCCCGTTAAGTCGATATGAAACATTCATAGTTTGTTAAATGTTAAGAAGCCCTCAGACGCTGTTTCTTGCAGATGTTGCGTTTTCGGACCCGAGCTCGGGTCCATCGTGATGAAGAGGTTAATGAGGACATGTTACATATTATAACTTTAAGTGAACAGAAATCCACCTCTGGGAATGTCGCGTTACTTACATTTTTAAGAGATCTGATTAATGTGATTGTTGGTTATTCAACAAAAGTATTTTCCCCTGTTTATCTACCAGGTCCAAGGCGGCAATTATCCCAGAGAAATGTCCCAGCAGAGAGCAGCGTCCCAGCAGAGAGCAGAGTCCCAGCAGAGAGCAGAGTCCCAGCAGAGAGCAGAGTCCCAGCAGAGAGCAGCGTCCCATCAGAGAGCAGAGTCACAGCAGAGAACAGAGTCCCAGCAGAGAACAGAGTCCCAGCAGAGAGCAGCGTCCAGTGGCTGTTCTCAGTTCGGAAAGAGTTCGTTCAAAGAGTGACTCCACCTGTCCTGAAGGACCTTCTGGATAAACTCTTTGAGTCTGAAGTGATCATTAAATCTGAAATGGATTCAGCCAGAAACAAACCCAAAGATGAAGGAGCACGAGAGGTGGTGGACGCGGTGCGAAATAAAGGAGCTGCAGCCAGCAGGGTTCTGATCAACGCTCTCTGCGAGCTGGACCCGTATCTTTACGAAGAGCTCGAGCTTAAGCTGAAGTAAAACCTTGTGGAGTGTGTGTGACAGTTGAAGTCTAGTCCTCTGTTTTGCTACCTGTACATTTTCCCCCTTGTCCTTGAAGGTAACACACATTCTGAGCGAAGGCCACTTTCCTTCTCTCGTTTCTCCTGGACTCCCTCCTGAGAGCAGCAACCAGGGCTTGTTTTTATTTTACCAGTTGGTATTGACTACTGGGTAAGATTTGGGATTTTGGGGCATTTGGTACCTCTGCGTGCGATTGGGAGTTCTGTTTGTTTTGTATGATCAAACTGCAAAGACCTGTACCTGTTAGGGACTGTAAGTATACTATTCTTTGATGGTGAATTAAACCTACGTGGCAATAGTGAACAACCTTTTTTCCAAAGTACAACGAAAACAAGTCCATGCTTTGGATGTCTTTTAACCTGACTGTTCTTTCACCTGCACTATTTCTATTCAAATCTATCGTGCTCTGTTTCATTGCACTATTTTTATTTTTATTTTTGTGTTATTACTGTATTATGTCCTTTATATAATATGTTGCACTGTTGGAGGAGCTCTGGACCTAAGATGTTCATTACCAGAACTACACTGTAGCTGCTGTGCACATGATAATATAACCCTTGGATCTTGAATGATTGCATTGAGTCTGAATGGGGACATCTGCTGGTCTACTCTTGGTATTGCATACACGTAGACGGCAGAAAGGAAACGTACAAATATAAGTGAAGTTTGCTGTTGACATTTAATCTTCTTGAAATGCAGAGTTGGGTATAACGCGTTACAAAGTAACTTTTGTCGGTAACGGAGTAGTGTAACGCGTTACTTTTATAATTCAGTAATCACACTACAGTTACTAACATTGCCCCGACACGCGTTACTTCGTTACTTTTATAAAATCAGTCATAATCACACTGACAGACAAGAGGGGTTTCCGCCGCAGGTTTATATGTACGTAATCTGCGCGACTTGCGCGTCCACATCTCCACGTGCAGTGCTGCATAAACATGGCAGAGTCAGCGATAACTTTCGAGGGGTGGAGGTATGCCCATTATTTTGAGTTCGTCCGAAGAATAGACAGGAATGTGACGGTGAGGTGCAAACTGTGTCCAGGCCAGAAGCTGTTATCCACTGCTGCAAACACCACGTCAAACCTCAACAAACACCTGCAAAGAACACATGCTAAGGTGAAGCTAATAGCTAAGGACCCCCGAACCCAGAGTGAGGATGTTGTGAGTGCGCCGCCGCCGACTCCGAAGCAGCACAAATTAGAATTTGGAGGACCGGTAACCAAAGCAGAGATGGACAGGCTTGTAGCATCCTTCATAGTAGAGGTAATGTTGTAGTGATGTGTCGGTCGCGAACGAGCCGATTCTTTTGAACGGCTCTTTGGTACGAACGAGGGGAACCGAGTCGTACTTGGTGAGAGCCGTTCTTCTTATCGTTCAATCAAAGTTGGTCCGCACTCACTGCCTGCCAAAATTCACTCGCCTTTTAAAAAGCTTGATTTTGTTCCCCAAACGTATTCTGTGAAGACCCGCCCCTACTCTGATTGGTAGGTTTCAGCACGAGGAGTTAGGTGGGGTGGGTCTTAACGGAATACGCGAGAGAGAGAAGTCATAACAAGTGGTACTGGACAGATAGACGACGTGTTTTTCGGATGGAAAATGAGCCAAACGCGAAAACGCAGCAGCATTTGGATGCACTTCAACCAAAACCCAGGCAGTGATAAAGCGCACCATTTGTAAAGGCAAAATATCCTTTAAAGCAGGGTCAACAAATAATCTCCATCGCCACTTAAAAACACACTACTAATATTAAGAGTTGCGTGAATTTCATTCAAGGCAAGGCAACTTTATTTACTTAACACATGCAGAGGGTAAATTCAAAGTACATTCACTGACATGAATGACATGGATATGGCGCCACCTTGTGTCATGTTTACAATGCAGATTATTGACATTAGGTCTGGCAATGCAGTCAATCATTATCCTGGTGATTATTTCGCAGATAAACCTAGTAACCCTGCCCCCTTTTTTAAAAAACGGCTCTTTTGAACGGCTCTTTTGAACGGCTCTTTGAAAGGAACGGAGCCATAAGATCCGGCTCCCTTCAAAGAGCCATAATTCCCATCACTATAATGTTGCCCATTTGCACAGTGGAATCACCATCGCATCGTTCAGAGATATACTGCGCAAAATACAGATAGCAGGAGACAGAGGACAGCCATAGTCAGAGCTATCTGGATCAGTCTTATGCGACAATGGAAACTGAACTAAAGAGAACATTTGAAACTTTAGCAGTCTGCGTGATCTGCCTGTAGGGAGGGGCGGGCCGGCCCTGCGAGTAAAGTAACGAGTAAAGTAACGAGTTACTTTATGTAGAGAGTAACGAAGTAGTGTAATATATTACTTTTTAAAAAAGTAATATGTAATATATTACTTTTTTTTTGTAACGACCCCATCTCTGTTGAAATGTAACTCGAGAAGCAGCATTGGATATTTTAGTGCCAACAGTGAGTGGTGCAGGAATGTCGTATTTCTGTGTTGGTCCCTGAAGGCAGCATCTCCCTGCTCCAACATTGACGTAAAAATATTTCTCAGCTCATGAATCTGTCAAATAAATCTTTGTCTTATAAACGTCCCAGGTCCCCTACAGTCTGCACTGCTTCTTCCAATATAATAATAAATAATTAAACATCATGTAATTGTTTTATTTTATTGAAAAACAAAAAATTGAAACCCTTACAGAGAACGGGCACCGAGATGTAATCCTGTTCACCGATGTTCTGCAGAGCGTCATTGATCCACTTTAGCGAGGTGGTGATGGATGATTGAAATTTTAATGAGCCCGCTTCAGTTTATCTGATTCACAGAAGTCACACTAAACAACAGCTGTTTCATCCACTGTGTGAAAGAAGGGCGGCTAATCCAACAAACCAAACCATCCTTTACTAAACCAACCAGTGAGTGTTCATCTGTTTCACCATAAAGAATCAAACTCCGAACAACAAGGAGCAGATATATTCACTTCAAGCAAGTCATACCACAGTTACTGCTGCTGAATCAGAGATTTAACATCCATGTTCTTGTAGATATTACTGTGTATATGTCTTACAAAGGATGCCCAAACAGAACAAGATGTATATTTAAATCCTCTAAACTCTTCATATTTATCATTAAAACCTAAGACTCATCAAACATGGTAAAGAACTGAAGCTAATAACTGAAGCAGGAAAAGCATTTAGAGTTTACATTGAAGTATAGAGACAGCAGCTGCTCACACACACACACAGCCTGGATAAACACTGGATATCCACCTGGATTTAACCAATCAGTAAGAGCCTCCCATTGGATACTTACTGCAGTGATATGTCTCAGTTATTTAACCCTAGCTTCTCATTTCTCAACCAGGTCTGAAGACATATCCTGTGGTCGTGGAAAGGATCTGTTTCAGAAGGGTCAAATGATCGGCCTGCATCAAGCAAAGAACACCACTAAACTGCTGAAACGACTAAAGGTTAAGAACTGTCCAACGCATTAAAACCACATCAATGAATCCAGATTGACCCTGTTCCAGAGTGATGGGGGCATCATGGATCCAGATTGACCCTGTTCCAGAGTGATGGGGGCATCAGGGTGAGAAGAGAGGCGGAGGAAGTGATGCACCATCATGCCCACCATGCTTCATCAGAAGCTCACAGCTTCTCCAGGAAGTCTGCAGGCTGAAACAGGAAGCAGACATTAAACAGACGTTCAGTCGACGGCAGAACATTTGATTAACTCCAATCATCAGAGTGAAATCCAATTCATACCGCTTTCATCACATTAGTATGCATAAAAAGTGACAGGTGCTGTGACAGGTCACACCTTTCCCTACTTATGCTAATGACCACCTTTGATATGCTAATGGCCCCTTTGTTCGAGGTGTTATCACATGTAGGTGTGATATCACATATAGGTGTGATATCCTTTGATGTGAGGGGGGAGGTGTTATAACATGTAGGTGTGATATTACCCCCTCTAATAGACCCTTTGTTGTCAATCTAATCGAATTAACCTTTGATGTCTGTCCTTTGATGTGACGGGTGAGAATACACAGAACATAAACAGGTATATTAACACAAAACATCCACAATAAAGACAGTGGAGGGATTCAAGATGCATTTAAACATCAGTATTAACATTTCTACTTGAAAACACACAAAATATATGACGTCTCTTCACCTAAAGACGTCTTCTTTCCAGATGTTCCTCTATTTATCTGGCTCATCCAGCCCCTTCACTTTCCCCTTTATTGATGCATTTAACTTAAAGTGGACCTATCATGCTATATTTGAATAATATAGTGTAGGACCATACCTATATATATATATTTTTTTAAATACCAAACAGATCATGCATTTTAGCCATGCCTCATTTCACTCAATTTGACCATTTCTAGCTCTGGGCAGATTCAGTGAGAACAGGACCACCTCCAGGCCTGGCATATGTACTACAGCGTCTCCAGCGCTTTCGAACGGCAATGGCCATGGCTGTCTCCTCCTGATTGGTGGAGTTGGCCCAATAGCTGTAGCGCCACCGTCCTGACGTCAGGACAGTGTTCAAATCTGGATCAGTTTTTATCAGATCCGTTGCAGCCCCTTTTTTAGAGATTTGGGTTTGGAGGAAAATAGAGAGGGTTGTGTTTTCTGATACTTGGTGAGTTCCCTGGAACACCGGGGACACATATTCATGTATAAAATGCATTTTGCATGATAGGTCCCCTTTAAGAAAATGAAACCTAGAACATTTAGGGTAAATATCCAGTTTTTGTTCACATTGCAAAACAAATCAAAGAGATTGCAATGTCAGTTTTTTCCACAATATTTAAAGATCAGTTAAAACTACGGTATTTCAAAGATACTGAAATCCAGCGATTTTAAATCATGGGTTATACAGTGTTATTGTACGGAGCCCCTAAAGGGACATGCTTTTGCAGGGTTTTTTGTTTTTTTGAGAAAGTTACCGGTGCGCCAAGGAGGAAGTGGAGCACACAGGAGACAACCATTTCATTGCAGACTGTTATGTTTACGTGGGGAAATTACAGTGAATACATTATTTGAGATATATTTATCCAGAAGACCAGAGGGACCAGAGGGAGAAGTACTCACATCTTCAGTAAGAGTACTCACATCTTCAGTAGAAGTACTCACAGCTTCAGTAGAAGTACTCACATCTTCAGTATAAGTACTCACAGCTTCAGTAGAAGTACTCACATCTTCAGTAGAAGTACTCACAGCTTCAGTATAAGTACTCACAGCTTCAGTAGAAGTACTCACATCTTTAGTATAAGTACTCACAGCTTCATTAGAAGTACTCACAGCTTCATTAGAAGTACTCACATCTTCAATAGAAGTACTCATGTCTTCACTAAGAGTACTCAAATCATCAGTAAAAGTAGAAGTACTCAGATATTGCAGTAAAAGTAGAAGTACTC